TATTGTATTGTTTCTCTATGGAAGTAAATGTATGCTGTTTAAAAACCTCGCGATTACTGAACAAGAAAACGACGCATTCATATTCCAATGCCGAGGTTAACAGAAAGTCGATCCTGGAAACTATTATCTGATAAGATGGTTTCATTTTTTCCTAATTATTTCTTCATTAAACAGACTGTCCAATCAATCAACGCGCATAAAACCAACAACTCATGGATCTCTATGGGGACTATGGACTGCGATGAACTTACTATTTGGTTCACAATCACATATCATTTGACTGACTATTATCTTTAGAAACGAATCGTTAATATCTATATCTAATATCTAAACGTATCTAAAAGCGATACGAAAAATGACCAACGACGTTTCCAGTAACGGGAGCGCTCGACGTATTCGATCAATACCCATGTTTTCACCACACTACGTCACATTGATGAACTCTGAGCGATTACGATATCACTTTCACCACTGTCTAGCCTATTCTTTCATCTGTAATAATGGTCGTGGTCTATACCCATCTGTCTATTAATCTACTACGTTCCTCGATGGTTTACACCACCTCTTCCAGCTGGTACGGTCCCGATTCCGGTGGTCGCACTGCGATTTAAATACGATTGAAGGTCTATTTTTATCAAGGTCTCTTAAGCTACTGAGAATGCCAGAGATGAGATGACGATATGCGAGAGCTCGTTGAATGAGGTTCTCCTCGCGAGTGCAGTGAAAACACCTCGCGAAGTGAGGAAGACGATAGTCAAACGTGAAAATTGCCCAGGAAGACATCTAGTTTTTGAAGCATACATTTACAGCTAGTTCTATAAGTATGTGACGCGGTTAGTTATTTGTAGCTAACGTTTTGAGACGTCTTCGCCTTCTTCAGAGCGATTAAAACAATAGTTGCTTCATTACTTCGCATGCGAAGGATGGTTACTTCGTCAAACGGAAACTCGTCAGAAATGGGGAAAACATTTGTGTCCTACGATGTCTAATTCTCCTTTTTTTTGTTTTTTGTTTTTGGAAACTAATACAACCGGTCGATATAACTGTGCTCGAAATGTATGATATTGACCGGCGATCGTTAGAATCACTCTAGAGGAATCCTAGTGAAGAATGTAATCGTGGAAAAAGAGGGTTGACGAAAGCGAGCGTTACAGAATGTGATCATAACCTAAGATATTTCCATTTTTTGAAAACTTGTATTTAAAAACCTTTTGAAAATGTTGGGAATACGTCAAATACAGAATCTGTATAAATTTAAACTTTTAGTCTTCACTTGATGAGTGAAAAGAGTATGGGCAAAGAAACGAGGATGCACATCGGTAGCGGCACGACTTTGTTCCAACTTCGATGGAAATGGTGTTCATAATCACGACAAAAAATTTGAAAAAATTCGGGGGCCGAATCAAAGTTAAACAGACGTGAAGGATAGAAGAATAAGTCTCTCTGTGTTGAGTAATTACTAAGGGATGAAAAATGCATTTGATTCCATTCGTAGCACCGTAGAGGTGACTGAGTGCATATTCGACGTATTCGACGCTAATGTTGCTAATGTTCGCTAATGTTTCACGGGCTGCTTCTTAGAATAACATCAGTCCCTTATTGTAAATAGATTCTGGACATAAAATCCCTGAATAAAAATAGACTCTTATCCGCTTTTGTATTCTACGCTGCGTAATAAGTTTCCAAATTAGAGACGCTTAACAAAATATTTAAAAAACATTGGTCAGTTCCAAACGTTTTTACGCCTACATTTTTACATTGGACTGCTTTTCCCAATATAAACTCGCTCACTAGCAGAACCAAAGAGGAAGGAGAAGGATGGTAACAAAAGGACTGTAGGAAAAGGAAGGCGAGAAAGCAAACAAGGCTGACAAGAATTTCATAGGAGTCTATTGTAGCCAGCTTACTTATAACCGTTTAGTTTTTTTTTTTGTCCCTCGAAAAATACGATTATAACAACACGCATGAGCGAATGCGGTTAACGAAAACCCAGCTCCGTGATTCAAATTGGAAACAGGTAACATCGAGATTATTATGAACGCGATAGGACGCCAAGGTACAATATAACCAGAACCTTCTATAATGCTGAGATATTTGCAAAACTCCAGACCGCAGGTGTCTGTGGTGGGGAAAGAACGCGCTTTTGTCTTTTCCGGGGGCTAACACGTTCATCACCATACCAAGTGGGTCCTTCGTTTCACCTGTCTCTCAGCCGGTTTTCTATCTACCAGTACCATCAGCAATCACACGTCAGCATGATTGACTTAGAGATCACAATTCGGCATTTAACCCAGTTTGAGGCTGTAACCTGCGGTCAGGAGTTTTTCAAATATCTCAGCATCATTGTGATCGTATTCCACATAATACCCTGCCGTGAAAAATTGTAGTAGGTAGCAGACAAAAAGTTAATATTGTGATTTCTACTTCAACCTCAGCTTAGTTGGGTTCAATACCGATTTGTGCTCTTAATATCAATCCCGCTGAAGGCTGATTGCTGATGGCACTGGTAGATAGGAAATTAGCTGGGAGACAGGCGGAACGACGGGCCAGCATGGTGTGGTTGTGGACGTGTTAGCTCCCGGAAGGGTGATAACACGTTCGTTCTCCGCCGCAGACACCTGGGGTCCAGAGTTTTGCAAATATCTCAGCATCATTATGGTTTTATTTCAAACACTAGTGTTTGAAATTTTGAAGAAGATTGATTACGGGGTTTTGTGGTGTTCGGGAATGACTCACAAGAGACAAATTCATTTCCGTTATTGGAGAAGAATCAACGACACTGCACAACTAATGCAATATTTCACATTGATGTCTTCCTTTCAGCTAATGATAAACAGAACAAGGATGATCATTTAAAAGTTGCTAACGTTTTCTGAAAAAGAGAGAGTATAAAGAATAAAACGTTAATGAGTCCATGAGAAGTGTACTATGAATTCGATCCTATTCATTGAATAGCAGGAGTGATTAAATGCCTATCTAACCTATACAGTGACTTGCAAGGGTCTAATGAGTCATCAAGTGGGTGTTCCTATCCTCCCTAACACCAATCGTGCCTGCATTGCAGGGAACCTCTAACAACTACGCTACATTCGCTTGCTGAAAAACTTGGTAGTCAGTAAGTCCCCGGAAATGGAATTTCTACTACAAAAAATGTCTCTATCCGAAGTAAGAACTTCTTTCTGGTGAATATTCCGTTGTCGTTCCTTAGTTATTAGTTTTCTATTGAGAATGAGCTTCATATTTTGAAATAATCGAATTATATTACTAGTGATGCTTAGATTGAAATGATGCTCTACATAAAGGCAATAGTTACAATGTTTTAACTAAAATACGACTATGTCTTACAAGGATTTTTCATTCTGATTTTTGTGGTGTCGATGGTATCGATAGTTTCACAAGAATTCAGCGCCTCATCGTAGCTGGGTGTGATCCTGGATGACGAATTGCGATGTACAGCGAAGACTCACCACCGCATTCCTATTCCGATATCCAGCTCAGACTAAACCAATAGCACAAAAACACATTACCTGGCGACAGCATTCTAATTAAATGGTGGATGGTGACGGACTTGGAAATGCATGGCTTACGAAACTTCATGGAGTGCAAAGCGCAGCTTAATGATGTCCTTCCCGTTCTCTAATATTCCTTTCGGCGAGCCATCGGCTACGATTTGATCGTCTTTGCACCACAGGTTCTTCATTACCTGGGTCTTGTTCCGATATATGAGTAGTCCAATCTTTTCCCACGCATTGATCATCGTCTGTTTCGTTGGCGCTTCTTGAGAAGATGATGGTGTCATCAGAGAAAAGAGGATTAGATAAGAATTCTCCATCAATACACATGCCTTTCTCATCCGGAGTGAGTGACTTCATTGTCCACTGCGATGCGGCAGGAAACTGGTTTGGCGATTTGGTGTCACTTTGCCTTACCTCTTTTCCTATGGGTGTGGCATGAGGTTGATTTAAAAGCTGCAATTTCGTAGTGTATTTCCGACCACAGCCAGATAGAGCTATTCCGTAGGACAGCTCCACGTCTTGGTCGACAATTGCTAGTAGGGTTGCATTGGTTTGACGCTGTCTAACGCTTTTCTCATATGTGTTTATATTGTTGAGGTTCCACGAGGTTGATAGAGATGTTTATTCGGCTAGCGTTTCTACGTTTTCGTCGTCATCAGAGCCGACGATCATGGGCGATAGTTCCTTCCTCAGCGGAGCATCTCGAATGAGGCATAAGATCTGGTTCGATGCGAGACAAAGACATCATATCGAGGAGGAACAACTGTGGACAGTCGACAAGGACCTTCGGCTCTGATGAAGACGAAGACCTCGAAACGTTAGCCGAATAGACATCTCTATCAACCTCGTGTAAGCACAACAATATAAACACATGTTGATTATTTCCCTAGTAAGGATAAATGACGGTCAGTTTCAAAACTATGGTTTTGCTTTTGATAAACTTTAATGACACTGAACAAAATTTGGATGTGGTTCATGCAACAAAATCCCTTTGGAAAACCTGCTGGCTAAATTAGCAAGGTCTTCGATATGCGGAAAAGAATAATGTTCGTGTACAACTTGTAGACCGTACTCAATAAACACATTGGCTGGTAGTTACGAAGATCCCTTCAGCCACCCTTCTTGGGCAAGAGGACTGGGCGCGACGTACGTTTTCCATTGATCTGGGATTTCCTCTTTCTGAAAGTAAAGTATATGTAGTTTGTCGCCAACAGTCCTAAAGAAATGAATGGTAATATCATCCGGTCCTGAAGCTGTGCCTTCCTTCATGCTTTTAACGCAACTCGATCATCAGAGGGTAGAATCCAGGGCCGTTTTTCTCCAGTGAGAATTTCAGAGTCTAAGACGGGGCTTGCGGAGCGGAAAAGATTAGTATAGAACTTTTTCGTTATCAGTTCCATATCATAGAATGTCAAAAACTGTATTAGTAGCTAGCGCTTCTTGACAGTGATGTACCATTTGTAGGGCTTTCGTTCCAATATTTGACTTCAGACGTTGTTCATTCAGACATGTGACCACATAAAGTGCAATCATTCTCTAACAGTAATGGTGCATTCCACATCTCACTACCACAAACAAAGAAAGCTTTAAAAATTCCGCTGTTAATCAATTCCTTATAATATGCTGTGCATCTGGCGTCATTTGCAGTACCGTAAAGGTGATATAATGCAAACTTGACCTACATAGTGACTTAAGAGGAATTACCGATGTAGCCGGTCAGTAATATTCAACCTGACCCTCATTTAACCACGGAAGTAATAATCAATATCTTCTTGGATTAAATCCAGTACTAGACTGATAAATATGTTAACGTTTCGACGACTTCGCCCTAATCAGAGCCGATGAAACGAGTCAGTGGTTCATGGTAGTTCGTCTAAATAAGATTCAACTCGATACACTGCCTCAAGAAAACGAACGACTACGGACCATAGACTCGGGTCATCGGCTCTGATGAAGCCGCATACGTCGAAACATTAGCCGAATAAACAGCTTTATCAACCCCGTGCTGACATACAAATTAAACAAGGTAGGTCAACGTTTTTTTCCTTTTAGACAAGTCTGCCACCAGTTCGCTCAATCAAAAAGGATGGGAATCTGGTCTCCCTGGCGCGCGTACACGAAATGACGACCACGCATGCATCGCAGGTAACCAATTACTTACACACTTGCTTATTCAGTTTGTGAAGGCTGAATGTAATCAGGTCACAATAACAACAAGCAGTAAGTAAGCACTTGTTAACACTTACCGTTCACATTCGTTATAAAGATATTTCACCTTTCAGACATAAGCGAAACTATGTAAAAAGGTTTCCTTGAGGATATCATGCCTAAATCTATCATTCTAACTCCCACGACCGACTTTCTATTAACCTCGGCATTGATCAAGTAATTCTTCGTATTTTTGTTGAGCAAACGCGAGGTGTTATTATTCTTTATTCACAAATGAGCTGACGTTTCGGCGGATTTCGCCTTCCTCAGAGCCTGGAAAGGTCAAGTTGACAGCAATCTACTTGGCCAGATGCCTCCATAACCAAACAAAGAAACTCTAAACCAAGATTTCAATCACATTGAACACAGCTTTGCACACTCACCGCTTTCTATGAGGTCTCCACTAAGTATGTCACGTAGAGACCAACCGCACAGAAATCACATG